CGCTGTTAACGAATTGCCTCTGCTCATCAACATCTCACAATCGCACTTGACAATACAATCGACACTTCAAAGCTCAAACAGCTCAGCTCTTGCCCAGTTCAGTGCTCATCAGTACTAACAAGCCGCACGCATCGCATCCCAACAAGTCATCATGGAGTTCTACCTCGTCCCCGACCATCACTCCCAACCTCACCGTCTGCGGGCACCACGCTCCGCATTCGGTGGGGCACCATCGTGCGGGCTCGATGATCTTCTCTGCAACCTGGTGCAAGCTCCATCGACTCATCGTCCAGCTCGAATACCCAAGCCTCGCCATTCTAGCTCCTTCCATCCTCTAGTCGATCTGACCCTCTACCAAGATCAAGATCGCGACTCTGAAGATGAACGGCAAGCCATCGCTTTCGCCTTGACTCACCATCGTCATCATCGTGAGCGCGAGCGCGAGCGCGAGAGAGCACGTCAATTGCAATTGGAGCATTACCAATTGGAACGTCAGCGTGCGCGACGTCTTCGAGAGTTTGAAGAGGCCAGAGCGGCAGCGGCGATGGCGCGCGAGCAACAACGTCAGCGTCAGCGACAATTGCACATTCTGCATCTCCAACAAGAAGCACGCGAGCAGCAAGAGAGGCAACATCGTTTGTCCCTCGAGAATGCTCAGAGACGTCAAGAGCACAAGAGACAGTTCGAACTGCAACGCCGTCATCGCCAGCAAGAAGATTTGAATGTTCAAATTCAACACGACTTTTGGCAAGCTTTGCAAAGGCAATTCTTCCCTTCTGTGCAAGAGTGCGAGCAGGAGAGACAAGCAGCCGTTGAGGCGCATGTGAAGCAGAGGGCACGAGGAGAGAAGTCGCAAATCGAGCGTAGACGTGCCCAAGCGAAAGAGAAGCAATCGGACACTCAAGAAACCTTCGAAGGAGCGCTGCAGCTAGGCGATGCCTTTTTGCGCGCTTTCTTTGGTGCAGAGCCCGATGAGGAGAAGCAGGAGAAGAAGGACGAAATCTTGGAGAAGGCCACGGCTGATCAAAGCACCAGCGAAACTCAAGCCGAACCTGAGAACGCTATGCAGAGCCATCAAGAGCTGGCAGTGCCTCGAGCAGATGGAGAGAGGGGAGACAAAGTATCCGTCGAAGACACTTCAAGCACCCCATCGACGGGACAATCTTCGGTGACGGTAAAGGATATCCAGATGGCCGATGCACCTTCCAGCAAGAAGGAGACGCTGAACGCCTCCTCCAACGCAAACGAAACGGTCCTCTTTCATTATCCTCACGTCGCTCCGACCTCTTACGACGCAAAGAACTTGAAGCTGGCACTGCAGGGCGATCAACTTCGCATCGAGGGACTATGGCAATCCTCATCCCCTCTCGAAAGTTTGAGCACCACCAAGCATTCACCCGCGCAACGGCAAGCACAGGGAAAGCAAAAGGAGGGGCAGGAGGAGAAGAGTTTGACCGATTCTTCACGAAGCAATTCCCCACATCGAGGACGTTCGCCACGTCGTGCAAGAGTGAGCGAAGTGGATGAAAACGATATGGAGA